TTCATTCCTCCATCAGTGGACACCCAGGTTTTTTCTATATCTTCACTATTGTAAATAATGCTTCAGTGAATACAGAGGAGCATAAATCCTTTCAAGTTAGTGTTTGTTCATCTGTTCTTGCATGCTGCTTATGTTATCCATTAGAACCCTTAGCATATTCATCATAGTTGTTTTAAATTCCCCATCTGATAATTCCAGCATCCCTGCCATGTTTGGTTCTGATGCCTGCTTCATCTCTCCAAGTGTTTTTTTGCCTTTTGGTATTCCTTCTAATTTTTTTTTCTTGATACCCAGTTATGATGTATTGGATAAAGAACTGCTGTGAATATGCCTTTAGTGATGTGGAATGAGATGTCAGGAGATAGTCCTATGATTACATCTCAGTCTTTTAGTAAGCCCATGTCTCTGGACTGTGAACTGCACAAATATTTCTTACTCTCTTCCTTTAGGTGGGACAAGATGGCTAGAGTGGGCTGCAGTTGGGTGTTTCTGTTCCCCTAGAACTGTTAGGCTCTGGTCTAACCCCAGCAGGTTAAACTCTGCTTAATTAGTTTCCCCTGAGGGCAGACCTCATTAAGAACAGAGTGCTCTGGCATTTTTCAAAATGGTTCCTTTTCCCCTCCCCTTGCTGGAATTATGAGGGGATTTTCCTGATATTTACCCTGGGAACTTGGTCAAACTCTTGGAAATAAATCTCACAGTATTGTGGGGCCCTCCCTCTGACTGGAACCCCTTGGAATTTTAAACTCTGAGTTGTCTGCACTGGTCCTCTAGCAATTTGTCAATTACAGTTGAGGTTTTCTTACCCTGGCACTAGTTCCTTAGTGTTTTCTGTTTTCAGACTTCCTGCTCTGATAACTCGTAACTCTGTGTATTTGCTTGTTTGTCTTCCCAATCTTGAGGACAGCTGTTTGCCCTGTGTCCATCCCTCTGAAGAGTTGGTTTTTCAGTCTGTTCAGCTTTTTATTTAGTAGGATAGAGTAGTGAATTCTAAGCTCCTTATATGTGGAATCAGAAGATCCAAGATCATGTTTGCATGTTATCTAACTTGTTTAAATATAATCATAATGACCAGATTTTAAATGAAATCCTATACTTAAGACTGTATTCAGCTCTGTCATCTGCCAACTATGCTGTTGTGCTTTTTTAATAAAATTTTTATGAGAGCTTAAATGAATCTACATTATTTGAATGCTAAAATGTGATTTCATATTGATCTTAAGTGCTGGTGAGTTTTCTTCTTAATATTGGCTTCCCTAATGATTTCATGTTTTAAATTTAAATGATTTTATGTATTAAACCTTAAATTTCTATTTCACAAGCTTGAAATAGACTTTATATGATGTTTAAGATAGAAAAATATTGTTAAACTGAATAGAAAATACAGAAGTGTGTGGTACTTGCTTAAGAACAGACATAAAGATCAATGAACTAGAGTTGAGAATCAAGAAATAAACCCATACATTTATGGTCAGTTGATTTTCTACGAGGATTCCAAGGCAAGTCAGTGGGTAGAAAGTAGCCTTTCCGACAAGTAGTGTCAACTTGATATCCGCATGCAAAACAATGAAGTTGCACCCTTACCTCACACCATATATGAAAATTAGCTCAAGGCCTCCAGAATACACTTGAACTAAACTCAAAACCCTGCAAAGCTGGTTGATGGGCTGAGTTTCTGGGTCAAGGCAGAAATAGTGGAACTTGCTCTCCAAGTGGAAATTCTTTGGGATTTTGTCATTCAACAAATACTTATTGGCCACCTATGCTAGCAACACCATAGTGACCAGGACAGACTCATCTAGAGGTCTGTCTCTCCACACTGGATCAAGCTCTTGCTCCTCAGGGTACCTTTTTTGAAGTATATTTGACATGTCTTGCTTTTTAAGAAAGAAATGAAAGAAAGAAAGAAAGAAAGAAAGAAAATTAGCTCAAATGTAGAAAGACCTAAATGTAAGAGCTAAAAGTATAAAATTTATAGAAGAAAACATTAATAAATCTTCATGACTTTGGATTAGATAGTGTTTCTTAGATGTGACACCAAAAGCATAAGCAATTAAAAATAATAAATTGGAATTCATCAAAATTAAAAACTGTGCTTCAAAGGACATTATTTAGAAAGTAAAAACAACACACAGAATGGGAGTAAATATTTGCAAATTGTATATGATAAGGGTCTAGTATCTAGAATACATGAAGAAGTCTTAAAACTCAACCACAGACCACCCAGTTGAAAATGCAGAATAGCTTCGGGAAGAAAAGAGCTTGGTCCTTCTACTTCCTCTTCATCCCTAAATGCAGACCTGCTAGAAAAACTGCATGGTGATGGTTTTAGCCTCTTGTTTGTTAAAGGAGATGCAACCTTTTGGGAACCTGGGTACAGAGTTCTGATGGGTAAGGTTAAGATTCTTGCTGTGTCTCTCTTGACGTTAGCAAGATGAATCTGTAATTCATCATTTGATTGCTTTATATGTACATGTCTTCACAGTCACTAGATGAGGCAGGGTGATATTTATTCCTGTTCTTAGTTATATAAGCATAATTAATGGATTAAGTTAAAAGATCTAAATAATGCCAAATCACTGGTCACAGTCCAATAAAATAAGTTATTTAAGTTAATTATTTAATAGCAAATTGCTAATTGATATATAAAAGCCTCTAGATGTTTAACAATCTCGATTAAAAGGTCTTAATCATGACTTTTTGAATGTTAAAGTCCATGATAGAAAACAATCTTTGTGAATAACTTCTACCTGAATGCCTATGAAGACTACTGATAATAGACAGTTGACAGGATTTATTTATTTTTTATTTTTTTAAAGATTTATTTATTTATTTGAGAGAGACAGACAGAGCTAGAGCGTGCAAGGAAGCAGGGCTGTGGGGGCAGAATGAGAAGGAGAGAGAGTTCCAAGCAGACTCCGCTCTAAATGTGGAACCCGATGTGGGGTTTGACACAGGGCTTGATCTCATGACCCCGAGATTATAACCTGAGCCAAAACCAAGAGTTGGTCACTTAACTGACCGAGCCACTCTGGTGCCCCACAATGTATTTTTTTAAATTTATTTTTATTTATAGAACTTGGATTTTTAAAGTATCATAAATACTTAAAAAAGAATAGTTAGACATACATCAGGAGTGATAGAAAAGGAAGTGTCTTGCTACATAAATTATAGCAAATTGACACCATTAAATTTAAATAAATTCAAATAGAGTACCTGGAGTAGAACTCTGAGCTACATACCTAGTCCACTCTGTGTTCACACAAGTTAAGAGCATGAAATGTAGGGGCGCCTGGGTGGCTCAGTGGGTTAAGCCTCTGCCTCTCGGCTCAGGTCATGATCTCAGGGTCCTGGGATTGAGCTCCGCATCCGGCTCTCCGCTTAGCAAGGAGCCTGCTTCCCCCTCTCTCTCTGCCTGCCTCTCTGCCTACTTGTGATCTCTCTGTATAAATAAATAAATAAATAAATAAATAAATAAATAAATGGGAGAAAAAGGAGAATGAAATGTAGCCCAACATGATTTGTCATTCTTCTTTTTCCCAAATGTTACCTACCTGGCAGTCCCCTTTTGTGAAGGCAGTTCCCCACAACCTAAGGCCACAAGGCAAGCTCTCCAAGTCTGTTGGATTGCTTTCTCTTCCCACATGAAGTTACAAAAAAATAGTCCAGATTACCATTCTCTGTCCATAAAATAAATCCTTGTTGACCTCCTGGGCCAACTCACTCGGTGCCCCTTTACAATTTTATCTGTCCTGCTTACCGTCATCTTGTTTACTTTTGAACCTTATCTTTTACCACAGACCCGGTTAGTCTATCAGCCTTTCTTTCCTTCCCCTTTCACACTGCATGCTCTGTAGAGCCTCCAGTTTAGAGACTGGAATTAAGAAATTATATTAAACCAGTGCTGCCTGGCTTTTTAAATAGAAAGACCTTCAAAGTTGACTAAACATAAAAACTGGCTAGTTTGGAAAGGGACTTTGTAACTGGAAGAATGTAAAAATTCCCAATGCCTTTTGTTAGTGAATGAATAATGGGTGAATGTGAAGAAGAATAAAGATGAAGCAGAGGGACAAATGGGGAAAATCATTTGGAGTTTTTAAAAAAGATCACTTTCATTAATTTGCATGCCATGAATGAAAAATAGTCAAATCAAATCACCTTAAGTCAAATCTCCATGTAATGTGTATTTTATTTTTATCAGCTACATTTTTAAAACAATCACAAGCATCCTCTTACACACAAGACTTCCGGCCTATGTGCAGTTAAAATATACACATTACGTAGCTGTTCTGTAGCAGAGTCCCGTCAGGTACTTCCTGACTCCCAGCTTCATCTCCCCATTGCAGGAAATCTGGTAGGGGCTCCTCCTACATGTCCCCTCTCTGCTCTGTGCCTGGAAGCTCACAGAAGACTGTAAGCAGGGACAACTGCAGAGCTGACCTCGTTTTCTCCCCTTTTCTCAGGGATCACTGTCCTTTACTGCCTGATTTCCAGTGCCTTGAAAACCATTCTTACATATATTCTGTCCAGTTTCTTTTGTTTGTATCAAATGGGATGGTGAATTCAGCCCATGGTCTTCCTTTGTGGTCAGAAGGGAATCTTGAACTAGATCTCTAACAGCTGGAAAAATAAATCTCATTGGAGCCCCATTTCTTACCTATACACTGAATCAATTATATTTCACACATAGTATGTAATATTGCTCTATTAAGGGGAGATGGCTAAATCATATTCAGATGTGTACAAGAAAATATCTCATTGTCTTCTGGAAAAGACTTTTTCAGTGTCAGTTAAAGGGAAACTGTTATCACAAGATTACCTTATCAAGAAGCAGGAAGTACAGTGAGATCAGCATTAGATTTTGAAAAATATTGTTGTGAGTAGGAGACTATATATATTAGGTATTCAATTGGAGAACAGACTTGTCAGAATTTTCTTGCTGCATTAATTTGCTCTATTGAGCTTCTTTATCATTTAATGTGATACCAGCTTCTAACGGCATGAACGCAACTACTTTACCACTAAGTACTCGCATTACTCTAGCATTTTTAATGGGCTTACTAGCTTTTGCTATAATGCTAGGAAATGCTGTAGTTATTCTAGCTTTTGTGGTGGACAAAAAGCTTAGACATCGAAGTAATTACTTCTTCCTTAACTTGGCCATTGCTGACTTCTTCGTTGGTAAGTTACATATCTTTATTTCAGATAGTCTTTTCTAATTATAATTTACTTCTAAAACCTTAAAACTAGCTTTCTTCTTCTTCTTTTTTTTTTTTTTAAATAAGCTTTTGTTATTTCCAGGGACTGTATAGATTTGGGGGTGTTAAAAATGTAAAGTTTAAAAATTAAGGTTCTGGGGAGGCTATATGGCATTTTAGGGGAAGGGTATATATGTGTGAATCAGGTTTGTAGGAGAATTTTCATTTGACAACAGTTTGCTTTATGCAGAATAAAAATAAGTCTGGAATAGTTCTAAAATTGCTCTAGTCCAAGAGTTACTTGTTTCTGGAATTATTTTCCTTGTATGTTTAGGTTTATAAATATGTGTAGAAATGTCAGTTGATGATATTGCTTTATAGGAGTTTCTAGTATAATTTAACTTGTCATTGTCTATAACTTCATAAATGCTTTCATTTATTTTACGGTGAAACAAAACTCGCAGAATACTTAACTTTATTGCCTGGAATGTAGGGTTGCTCAACAATGTTAGTCCTCTTCTCTTTTGATTTCTCTGCAGGTAGGTGTCAACTCAAGACAAGGTCACATTTGGTAGTAGATTACCTATCATGTGTAAGGACAGTTAAGTACCCAAGTATGATTAGATAATGAGATATATAGAAGACTAAGTTAGTCTCTTGCTTTGGTAAGGTTTCAATGTAGGAGGGTGGATAAGAGAAACAAGTGACTGTAACAGTATAGAGTATGACGTAAGAACCATGAGACCTTCCAAGTGCTATTGGGAACTCAGAGAAGGGAGAGGGCCTGTTTGGTTAGTGGGTAGCAGCATCTGAAATGAACTTCAAAGGTTGGGTAGAACTTCCAAAGGCAGAGATGGAAAAGGAGTATTCCAAGAATCAGCAAAGACCTGCTGGTAGGAAAATCATTGTGTACATCTTACTAAGTCTGAGCCCCAGGCTGGCTGTATCAGATCAGTAGGGGATGAAGTTGGAGTAGTTGGAATCTATGTAATGAAGACTCTTGAATACTAGTGTGTCTGGACTGGCGGTTACTCAACAGGTAGTGTGGAGATCTGGATTTTTATTTTTATTTATTTATTTATTTATTTATTTATATTTATTTATTTTTAATTTCTTTTCAGCGTAATAGTATTCATTGTTTTTGCACCACACCCAGTGCTCCATGCAATATGTGCCCTCCCTAATACCCACCACCTGGTTCCCCCAACCTCCCACCCCCTGCCCCTTCAAGACCCTCAGGTTGTTTTTCAGAGTCCATAGTCTCTCATGGTTCACCTCCCCTTCCAATTTCCCTCAGCTCCCTTCTCTCCATCTCCCCCTGTCTTCCATGTTATTTGTTATGCTCCACAAATAAGTGAAACCATTGGATAATTGACTCTCTCTGCTTGACTTATTTCACTCAGCATAGAGATCTGGATTTTTAAAGCAGGTGAGAGATCTGATGGCTCGACGCTTCACTTTAGAGGGATTAGCAGACACGTAGCAGGTGGGAGAAGCTGGAGCAGGTGGCAGCTTGGCTCCAAAAACATTCCTACAGCAATCTAGGCCCAAGTCATATGTTAAGGCTCTGAGCTACTGTGGGGAGGGTGGAAAGGAAGTTGGGGAGGGAGGCAGAACTCAAGGGTGGGGTTGGGCAGGAGAAAGAGAAAAATGAGATAAAGATTAATTTCTGGCTACAAGAAAAATATGGCACAATTAATAGGAATGGGGGCATTTGGGAGGGCAGCGGATACTTCTGATATTGTGCTGATAAACTTTCTGGAGGAAACTTCTAGCTGGAGAGATGGGTTTAGGAGTCACGGCACAGATATGACTGAGTTAGAGATGAAGGTGGAGAACCAATATAGAAGTATTGAAAAAAGGCAACAATCTCTCCATTCCTCTCCTCAATTCTGACCCTCCAGGTAACTCACATTAACCACTTGAGGTAGATCCGTCTACATCATTCTCTACAATCACAAAAACAGACATAACTATATGACTCTATTTATGCGAACAGAGAGAATATTCTGCTCTAAATATATTTATCTCTCTTTGCCTTCTTCACAGAACTGTATAACTTTTAGATAATACTTAGCACTTACTGCTGATTATGTGTTTTGACTAACTCAAAGGGAGTGGTGGTAGGAAGGGATGGGGTACAACTCTACCCAACAGGGAGAGCCTGAGGCCTGAAGCTTTTGAACAAAGATGGTACTAGATAAGAACAGAGCATTTCCTTTTGTGGCCCAATGGAAGGACTAGGGCAGCCTCACCTACATGGGCTTGGGCACCACAGTATAAAGATGTGTTGGGTGTTGGGGAAATGTCCCTGCAAATGTAGTTATCCAGTGGTTCTGGGGGGCCCCCGCCATTGGCATGTGGATGGAAAAATAAATGGCTTTGATGCTGATGAGAGCAATCGGACACAAGCCAGAATCACTTCATCCTTTGCATTTCCCATGCCCCCTGCCAGCTTCATCCAGACGTAAACTTACTTAACAGTATTTGCCACGATGCTCTTAGAATTAGGGCAGCCTCTGAGAACTTTCTAAAACAAGTTCGGAGTTTTGTGTTGAGGCTCTTCTCTTTCCTCATCTGCACACTATTCCAGGAAAAAAAAAGATATATATGGATATCTATAGAACTGGTATCACATGACTAATGTTAGCTTGGGCTGCTGTAACAAAATACCATGACTTAACAGCAATTGACTTTCTCATGGTTCTGGAGGCTGAGAAGTCCCAGATCAAGGTGCCAGCAGATTTGGTTCCTGGTGAGGACTCTCTTCCTGATTTGTAGGCGGCTTCCTTCTCCATGTGTTGTCCTGTGGCCTTTCCTCTGAGTGTGTATGGAGTGAACAAGCTAGCTCTCCAGTGTTTCTTCTTTAAAGAATTTTTTTTTAAGATTTTTTATTTATGTATTTGACAGACAGAGATTACAAGTAGGCAGAGAGGCAGTCAGAGAGAGGAGGAAGCAGGCTCCCTGCTGAGCAGAGAGCCCGATGTGGGGCTCGATCCCAGGACCCTGGGATCATGACCTGAGCTGAAGGCAGAGGCTTTAACCCACTAAACCACTCAGGCGCCCCTCCAGTGTTTCTTCTTATAAGGACACTAATCCTGTTGGGCTAGGGTTCCATCCCAATGGCTCATTTAACTTTACCTCCTTGTATGCCGTATCTCCAAGTGAGGCCACCCTGGGGGGTAGAGCTTCAACATATGAATTTTGGGGGGGACACGAACATTCAGTCCATAACACCCTCTATGCATTCACCATTATCCACACATTCCACTCTTGGCCCAAAGAATTCACTGGGGCTTTTAGCTCCCTCCAACTTTTGATTGTCATTTTCCCATGGAAGATGTAGCTTCTTAGCTGGCTTTGGAAAGAAGGGGTAATACCAGGTTGGTGATAATTTTCAAGCAAACTGGGCTTTCCCATTCTCATCTATTCATTCATCCAGTATTGGTTTGTTTTGAAGCAGGCAATTTTTGAGGTGGTGGGGATGGTGCTTCTATTTCTACTTAGCAGGGGGGAAGTGGGGAGAAACATGATAAATGTAAACAAGTGAATACAATTACATAGTGTTTTAGAGGGTAGTCATTGCTAGTGAGAAAAACAGCAGGGATGAGGGAGAGAAAGGGTGCTAGAGATGGAGGTTGCCATTTAAATGTCAGGGGTAGGGCTCATTGGTCAGGACACATCAGAGTGACTAGAAGAAGCTCTCTGAGGGAAGGGCATTTCATGCTGAGGAAAGTGCGAGGATCTGAGGGGTGTATGTGTGGTGTATTTGAGGCCGGGCAGAGAGAGTAGTGGGAAGTGAGGCAGGAAAGGTCGCGGGGTAGGGGTGGGGTATAGGCTGGAGTGAGCAAGTGGCCTGGGTTCTCACAGGGTCCCCCCTCCCTGACCCACAGGTCTTTTCTCCTCCCCCTGTTCCTTTACCTCCTTGTTCTTATTTCTTCACTGCCTTCTCTTACTACAGTTTGTTTTCTTTTACTCTCCACTCCCAACCCCCTTAATCTGTCATGCCCAAGGCTTATTGCTCTTTTCAAGAAACTAGCTCTTAGTTTCACTTCTCAAGTCTGTTTGACCCAGAAGCCTGATTCCAGAGTGGAAGTTATAGAAACATTGCAGAGTGGGTATATCCTAGAAATATTTCCAATTCAGTTTTTGAAACTCCTTTGGAATAAGCCACAAACATTTCCACTCAGCAAGACAGAAGATCTGAGCGTGATATTTGTGCTAAAATATCACGTAGAACATGAGGTGACAGCAGAGTTTCAGTAAAGCCAAAGGAATGGTGGTGGTGGTGGGGTGCCTGGGTGGCTCAGTTGGTGAAGTGGTTGTGACGTGTGCCTTCTGCTCAGGTCGGGATCCCTGGGCCCGCATAGGGTTCCCTGCGCAGCCGGGCATCTGCTTCTCCCTCTGACCCACCCCCCACCCCTCAGATAAATAAATAAAATCCTGAGGAAAAAAAACACACCAAAGGAATAGGACTACAGCCTGTTTTAAACTGCTCTGTCAAGCAGCCACTAAAGATTTGAACACACCTAGACACACCCTTTCTCTTTCATCTAATTCAGAAAATGTGTGGACAAGATTGTTGAACTCACCCCCAATCTTTAATGTTTGAATAGACTGTGGTGTCTGTAATGCAAATGACTACTGGCCTTGCACCTTTTGTCATTCTGTGGAGGAAATGAGGCTGCGAGATGTGTCCAGGGCCGAGTATGTGCGTACATGCGTGTGTGTGTGTGTGTGTGTGTGTGTGTGTAACACTCATGTTGGAAATATCAGATGAAAGCCACAACTCTGGGCCAAAACATGCTACACATCTCTGTTTTGAAGATACTTTGATTTATCTCAGATACTTTATCTTATCTGTTTATACCTATTTTATATCACAGGTGTGTTCATGCATGCGCAGGCACGTGGGCGCCCCTTTGAGATGGAAGTCCCCATAAGGAAGCTTGGTTATTAAAAATATAATCCAAACGTGAAACCAGCAGGCAATTTGAACTACATATAAGAACTGACCACACAACTCTTCCATCTCGATGATGCCTGTATGTGAACTTAGGTAGAGAACACTCAATTCCGTGTTCCCGTTCACTGGTGCTGAAACCACACCCTACTGGTTATATCCTCAGATCATCTGGTTTTGGGAGAATGTAGGGTTTCCTTCATCCTTCCCTTTCCTTCTCCTTTCTTTTGTTTTTACTACTGTTCTTCAAGAGAGGCTAACTCGATTTTCGTAGGAAAACAGGAAATCTTGCCAAGTGCCTGAGAAAATAGAAAGATTCTCACTGAGCTTCCTCTTAATAGGTTACATACTCAGTGAGCAGTGTCACCTGTCTGAAAAGTCAATACAATGAAAAACTCGAGCAAAGCTAAAGGAAAGGGAGCCCAGAGCCCAACCATTTGCATACCTGTTCACTCAGTAAAGGGTAGTGGTTCAAGTCAGGAGTCCTGAAATCACACTGCCTGGTTTCAAAGTCAATGAGGTTTCAAAGCCTGGGTGGCTCAGTGGGTTAAAGCCTCTGCCTTCCGCTCAGGTCATGATCCCAGAGTCCTGGGATCGAGTCCCGTGTTGGGCTCCCTGCTTAGCAGGGAGCCTGCTTCCTTCTCTCTCTCTGCCTGCCTCTCTGCCCATTTGTGATCTCTGTGAAATAAATAAATAAAATGTTAAAAAAAAAAAAAAAAGCCGATCTTCCATTTACTAGCTGAGTGGACCTTGGGCAATTACATCTCCATCTTGAGCTATAGGTTCTTCATCGGCTAAGTCAGCATGGTTTCTTTCTTTCTTTCTTTTTTTTTTTTTTTAAAGATTTTTTATTTATTTATTTGACACAGAGAGAGAGAGAGAGATCACACGCAGGCAGAGAGGCAGGCAGAGAGCAAGGGAGAAGCAGGCTCCCTGCTGAGCTGAGAGCCTGATGCGGGGCTTGATCCCAGGACCCTGAGACCATGACCTGAGCCGAAGGCAGAGGCTTAACCCACTGAGCCACCCAGGTGCCCCAAGTCAGCATAGTTTCTATCTCAGACAGTGTCTATGAACATTAAATGAGATGATACATGCAACAGACAGAGCACGGTGTGTGGCATGTGGTAACTTCATAATACATATCAGCTGTTACTAATTTATTTAAGTTAAATGTGGGAGCCACTGGTCAACTCTCAATGTTGTGAAAAATACAAAGATCAACTTGCAACCTGGTCCTAACCCTCAGGAGAAACAAGTGAAAAGATGAAAGAAAGGCAAAGTAGAATGTGTTTGTATCTCCCTGATGGCTAGTGATGAGGCAGCCACTTTGGAAAACAGTGTGGAAATTCCTTAAGAAATTAAAAATAGAGCTACCCTATGACCCTGCAATTGTACTACTGGGTATTTACCCCAAGATACAGAGGTAGTGAGAAGAAGGGCCATCTGTACCCCAATCTTCAAAGCAGCAATGGCCACAATCGCCAAACTGTGGAAAGAGCCACGATGCCCTTCAACAGATGAATGGATAAAGATATGGTCCACACATACAATGGAGTATTATGCCTCCATCAGAAAGGATGAATACCCAACTTTTATATCAACATGGACGGGACTGGAAGAGATTATGCTGAGTGAAATAAGTCAAGCAGAGAGAGTCTATCATATGGTTTCTCTTGTGGAGCACAAGGAATAACACGGTGGACATTGGGAGATGGAGAGGAGAAGTCAGTTGGGGGAAATCAGAGGGGGAGACAAACCGTGAGAGACAGTGGACTCTGAGAAACAAACAGGGTTTTGGAGGGGAGGTGGGGTAGGGGTTGGGTGAGCCTGGTGGTGGGTATTAAGGAGGGCACGTATTGCATGGAGCACTGGGTGTGGTGCATAAACAATGAATGCTGGAACACTGAAAAGATATTAAAAAAAAAGAAAAAAAAAGAAAGTGTACATGAGAGAGGGAGGGAAGAGCAAAGTGCCAGCACCATGCAGATGACAGAGGGGTCACTTCTGCCAAGGAAGTTCCAAGAAAGATGACAAAGAGAAATCCTTTTTGTGAAGTGAAAGAAGAATGAGGAGGAAGTAATTAGACTTCTCAGTAGAAGAGAGGAGGCCATTCCAGGAAGAAAGAATGCTATTGGCAAAGGACATGTGAAACTGTGGGCTGTGTTTGGGGGAAGGCTGGCCTGTCCTGTCTGGGTTGGATTATGAACATAAAGATGACTTGTTCAATCAGGGAAAGACAATTATCATATGGTTTCACTCATATGTGGAGTGTAAGGAATAGTGCAGAGGATCATAGAGAAAGGGAGGGGAAACTGAATGGGAAATAATCAGAGAGGGAGACAAACCATGAGAGACTCTTGACTGGGGGAAACAAACTGAGGGTTGCAGAAGGGAGGAGGGTCGGGGGATGCGGTAACCGGGTGATGGGTATTAAGGAGGGCACGTGATGTGCTGAGCACTTGGTGTCATATGCAACTAATGAATCATTGAACCCTACATGAGAAAATAATGATATATGTAGACTAATTGAATTTAAATAAAAAAAAAAAGAAAGAAAAAAAAGGATAACTTGTTCTCTATATGGCTGGAAATGCAACTAGGGACCTGAGCCTAATTTGGAAAGTAATAAGGAAGTGTATGATACTTAATGACAGCCATTGTAAGAATGGTATTTAAAGAATGTGTAGGAAATCAGTCCTGAGTTTTGCTAATGAAACACCATGAATTTCTAAATTATAATCAACCCCCTTTTGGTCAATTCAGATATGTCATTGTGTTGTATGCCTAGGTCTCTTTGTATTCATTGATATGCGCTTTTTTTTGGCCTTATTTTTTTCCCTATACAGGTATGATCTCCATTCCTTTGTACATCCCTCACACGCTGTTTGATTGGGAGTTTGGAAGTAGACTCTGTACCTTTTGGCTCATTGTTGACTATCTTTTGTGTACAGCGTCTGTGTATAACATTGTTCTCATCAGCTATGATCGATACCAGTCAGTCTCGAATGCTGTAAGTCCAAACCTTCATTTACCTTCTTTAGAAGATGACATACTTGTACATTTTGGGTCCCCAAGCAGAAATTGTTTTAAGTGTAATTTTTTGTTTAGTTGGCAAACCTTAGAGGAGCCTGATAATCCTTCTGTTATTTGGTGCTAAGTTTTCATTGGTCCTTAGTGAACAGTTTCTGTGTGTGCTTTGGCTAAGTCACTCACTCCCCTTTGTGCTGCTAGCATGGGAAGGCCATCAAAGAAAACCCAAGACAAGTTGTTGGAAGTGGTATACTGAGTCCACAACAGATTGGATAGATGTATGAGTCCCAGTAGATTTATCAAGTCCATTCCTTACCCAAACTAAGACCTGAATATTTTCCTGGTGGGTGAGTAGAAAGATGCCCAGACTTTTGAATGTCGTGAGAAAATCAATCTCAAATGGCCAAAGGAAAAAAACAGTATACAGAGAAGCTATAGTTTAGACAGTGGGACCAGCCTGGGAGGTCAAATCCCAGTGCCAGTGTAGGAGCCATGCCAAGAAAATCCGTACTGATCCAAGATTTGGAATAGGCTCGTCAACAAGTTAGTGACAGTTCTTAAGCAGGCTAACTTTATGAGCAATAGAACAAGGGGAAAAATAAGGCAGATGCAAGTAGAGACAGAGGGTGTCAGGGGTATAGAAATATGGGGCAGTAATCTGAAGTCTTTGAGACTTAAATGGGAAACCTCCTTCATTCTTGAGTCCCAGGACCCACATCTCTGGGGGGTATGACTGTGTGCAAGGGATTTTGCTAAATGCTGGGATATAGAAATGAAACCTTAGTCTCCACTTTTGAGGAGCATAATAGGCTCATGTGGAGAAGGATCCAGAGACAGGTGGGTTCGGTACAGTGGACCAGGTGTGGTTTTGGAGGTTTTGAGAGGATGGTGACAGCTCTGGCTTGGGAGGGCTGTGTGGCTTGTAGCAGACAAGGTTGGGAGGGTATATTGCACAAGGCAAGGATCAACTGTAGGGACAAAGATGAGGCTCAAACAAGAGAGAAATTTATTTTTCTCTCACAGAACATTCCAGGAAAGCCTTGGCTCCAGGAACTCATCCAGGGACCTAGGTTAACAGGGTGACTCTGAATCTTCTAGGGCAGGGCTCAGCAAACTTTTGCTATAAAGGGACATAAGGTCTCCATAGCAACTGCTCAAATCTGCCATTATGACACCAAAACAGCCATACGTAATATGTTAAAAAAATGATTCATTCATTGTGTTCCAATAAAAATTTATTTATCCAAACAGGTGGTGGGTCACATTTGTTTCATGAACAGTAGTTTGCTGACCCCTGCACTAGGTCATTATTCTCCTCCACATGTTCAAGGTTAGGTTGACGTCACTCCAGGTTCTAGAAAGGATGGGGAAAAGGCCAAAGTCTAGGGCAAGGGATTTTCTTTTAACCAAGTAGTGCAGAATCATACAATCATTTCCACTCACAGTTTATCGGTGACATTTAGTCACATGGTCTCCCATCTCCTTGCAACAAATCTGGGAAATGTGGTTTCTAGCTGAGCTGCCATATTGTCAGGAAGAAGGGGAGAATGAATGTGTTGGGACATCCAGACCCTTGGCCTTGGGTACATCATTGACACCAGAGTCTGCTGCAGTTGGTACTAGACAAACTACAGAGAGAGCGGTGATGAGCTTGGATGAACAATTCAGATGCCTATAAGCTCATGGTTTTGAAATTGCAACTTGTGACCCGTTATTGAGGCATGAAGTCAGTTCGGTGGGTTGTGACCGCTTTTTTTTTTTTTTTTTAAAGATTTTTATTTATTTGTCAGAGAGAGAGAGTACGTACACACAAGCAGACAGAGAGGCAGGCAGAGAGAGAGGAGGAAGCAGGCTCCCTGATGAGCAAGGAGCCCGATGCAGGACTCAATCCCAGGACCCCAGGATCATGACCTGAGCGGAAGGTAGCAGCTTAACCAACTGAGCCACCCAGGCGTCCCAACCGCTTTTTTTTTCCAGTGGAAAAATACAGAAAAAACCATAGTTAAACAGAATAAAAATAGAGTATAAAATATCAAGAGTATCTTGTACATAATAAATGTATTTTTTATGAGTACTTCTGTCTGGGAACTTAGTGATAATATAAAACGTATTTCTTAGTTTGAGTCCGTCAAAATGTTCAAAAAAGAGTGCTCTAATTCATAACCTTTCCCATTTGTGCTGAAACATTTCCTTTTATTTTCTGGGTTAATATTTCTTTTTAGTCTTCACTGGATGTTCCTTATAGGACATCCCTTTGCTGGATGTCCGAGCCCTTGGGTCTACCTTAGGTGGATGCAAAGGTAAGGGACAGTTTGTACAGTTAGGAAAAGTGTGTAGAAGTCACAGAGACAAGAGGACTGATGTCCACAGAGAAAAACGAGTGGGTTTGTTTCCTAGTCTTGACCTGAGGATTCCCACCTGGCCACGCAGCCTATAAATTTGGTGAGGGCTGGGTCGGCTGGAACCAAGATCCTTAGTACACAGCATGGAGTTAAGTGGCCAGCAAGAGCCCCGCACCCCAGTGCATGGTGGCTGCAGGGGGCGTTCAGGCAGCTCTTGTGCCTCTGCTGGTGAAGAGTTCAAATGCAGCAGTGTGAGCCAGGAAGCCCTCAAAGACCACTGAAGCTCGTAGGAGTGGTTGTGGCGAAGCTGAGCTCTTGCTGTAGTTTGAAGTGGAGGAGACCGTATGATAAGTCAGAGTCATGGGCTGGGCCTGGGGAATGGAAATCTGACCATAATATGGAAAAGGTAGGCCCTATGCAGATGGCAGCACGTGATTACCATGCTCAGACCCATTCTCTGGAGGGGCAGAGAAATCCGTGGGGCTGAAGCAAGAGTGGGTGGGGGAAGAACAGTGTAGTTGGAAGGAGTAGGAATTCAAATGTATGCAGAATTAAGGTAGTGAGTGGAGAGTGCTTTCTTTCTTCCCCTTCCTCCTCCTCCTCCTCCTCCTCCTCCTCCTCCTCCTCTTCTTCTTCTTTTCTTCTTCTTCTTCTTCTTCTTCTTCTTCTTCTTCTTCTTCTTCTTCTTTTTTTTGACTTGAAGATGAAGAAGGAAGCTTGAGAGTAAAATCAAGGCCATGGAAAATATGGTTGCTGGGGACTCGCTAGTTTCCTAGGACTACTGCAGTTAAGTACTGCACATCAGGTGGCTTAAGACCACAGAAACTTCTTCTCTGGAATGCATTTCATGTTTGGAGACCCAAAGTCCCAAATCAAGGTGGAGGCAGGGCAGTGCTCTCTCTGAGGCCTCTAGGGCTGCCTGTTACATGCCTTTCTCTTAGCTTCTAATATTACCAGCCATCCTTGGCATTCCTTCATGGTCCTTGGCTTATAGGTGTGTCACTTTAGTCTCTGCTTCCATTGACAAATGGTGTTCTCCCCGTGTGTCTGTGTCTTTCTTATAAGGACACCAGTCCTACTGGATTAGGGCTCATCCTGATTGAATAGGACCTTATCTTAAAGTGATCATGTCTGCAAAGAACCTACTGGCAAATGAAGTCATGCCCACAGGTACCGGGTCTTACGACTTCAACCTATCTCTTTGAAGGACACAATTCAACCTACAACAGGCACTTGGGATGGCCGTGCAATGCCAATTCATTAACTCCAGCAAGTCCTGGGGGCTGCTCTGCCTTATAAAGGAAACCTGATTGACAGAATGTTTGGATATCTTACTAGGGCAGGAAAGGAAGCAGGATAAGAGGCAATCTCCTGAATAATGAACATTTTCTGTCATGGGTGGAGGATTGGGCCACTGACTGATGTCAGGAAGGCCACTCCAACTGGCTGGCGCCTGGATTCAAGCAATGCTTAAGCTCTCTGTCAAAAATGCTACCCAGAGTTGAAGAGGTGGGCATCGTCTTTTCAATTCCCTTAGATGTCCATTATCCCATTTGACCTTATGCATAATAGAAAAGAGATCGCTTTCCAGCATATTGCATCACACCATTACAAAGGCTGAACAGAGCAATTAAAAAACTAAATGCAGTTTTATGACCATCTGGGTATTGTTACCATCTTCATAATCATTAGATTTAGTGCAAGAGATGTATTAATTAGTGGCATGAGAAGCAGAAGGCAAAAAAGCGTATTGTACTTGGGAACTTGTGGTCAGCACCATATGCATTTTAGCTTAGCCTCAGAAATATCAGTAATTTGGAAAAAAAAAACCACTTCCCTGCAGTTTTTAAAAATAACTTTTTTTTTTTTTAAGCCTGCTTCCTCTTACCTCCAGCCAACTGGGTGTGAGCCCTTCCCAGCCTGCACAATCCATCAAAGACAGACAGTGCTGGGCACTGTTGTGCCTTTTTAATAAAAATGAGAAAACACTGTAGCATGAGATTAGGAACTCACAGAGAAAATAGTACATGAACAATGGGAGAAAGAGAGGCATGTTCCAGTTTCTTGAGGAAATCATTTCCTTTCCCTTGAGTGAGGAAATCAGAGAAATATGGAACATATGAGCCGGAAGGATACTTACTGATCTAAAAGAAGCTCAGGGAGGTTGTCTGTTCCAGGTCCCCTTAAAAAAAGTCTTGGTTCATGTGTTTATCCCTCATGTAGGGTGGGTGAACTTCTAGATTTCTTTTTTTTTTTTAAAGATTTTATTTATTTATTTGACAGAGAGAGACACAGCGAGAGAGGGAACACAAGCAGGGGAGCAGCAGAGGGAGAGGGAGAAGCAGGCTTCCCGCTGAGCAAAGGAGCCTGATGTGGGGCTTGATCTCAGGACGCTGGGATCATGACCTGAGCTGAAGGCAGAAGCTTAACGACTGAGCCACCCAGGTGCACCAAACTTCTAGATTTCTTATAGAAGATATTTTTGAAGATATTGAGATCTATCAAAGATCATGGGTCCTGAGAACTGAGAGCAATCCTTACTCATAGAATCTCATTTTCCCTTATAGAAGCCAGTCTTTGTGACCAAGCAGATCTAGAACATTCTCTACCTTTCTAAAAAAAGACCTTGGTGCTTGCCTTGGCCGGGTCTCTCAAAGTGGTTGGCCAGCACAGCTTTGGCACCATTTTTGTTGAGTGGAAATGTTTATAGAAGGAAATAACTTGGTAATGCTCAGTCATATTACACTATTTCTCTATAGTAGGTTTAGACTTTTTTGGGGTGGGGTCATCTTCTTGGGAGTGATGTAAGAATTCTCTCTTCTTGACACCACCTTGACGTCTCAGGATAAATACAGAATAGATTCTTCCTGAATATTAGAATCAAAAAAGCCAGTGGCTCTCAGTCTTGTTTGACTGTGACCACTGGGAGAAACGCATTTGATACTGGGGTTCGGTACACATGCTTCTCTCTCTCTTTCTGTAGGTCTACATTCCCCAAGCCAAAGCATCATCAAACAATACAGACCCTTGCAATTGTGAGGCATTCTGACACTTGAGCGCTCTCTTTCATTAAAAGAAAAATGCCGCTTGTGACCCAGCTGGCAGATTGTGAAACACTGTGAAAGGGGGCACATAGTTTCAGTAGTTTGCCCGTTCACATTAGTGTCTACAGAGTTGGAAACATCACGTTTTATTTTTTTATTTGTTATTTTTTAAAAGATTTTATTTATTTGACAGAGAGAGAGAGAGAGAGAGAGAGAGAGAGATCACAAGTAGGAAGAGCAGCAGGCAGAGATAGAGGGGGAAGCAGGCTCCCTGCTGAGCAGAGAGCCCAATGCGGGGCTCAATCCCAGGACCCTGAGATCACGACCTGAGCCAAAGGCAGAAGCTTAAACCACTGAGCCACCCTGGTGCCCCAAACTTCACGTTTTTATTTTAGATATTGATCTTAACGTTTTCTAGAATTTCAGAGGCTTAATCTTGAGGGTTACAGATTTCCTCTGGAAGGTCCCTAAGAAAGTTTGCCTCTGGAACTGAACCCTCTCTCCTGGCCCATATCATGTTACCCAGGGCCAGGGAGCTTGACTACCTCTTGCATAGCCCTGAAACTCCTGAAGGCCTATGACAGGCCTTCTGCAACCAATACATGTTCATTATATTGGAACAATTTATTTGGTCTCTTTTAGGTATCTTACAGAGCTCAGCACACTGGGAACTTGAAGATCGTGGCTCTGATGGTGGCTGTCTGGGTGCTGGCCTTCTTAGTGCATGGGCCAATAATTCTAATTTCAGAGTCTTGGAAGAATTCCAGCTTGAGGATCTTGGAGAAGGATTGTGAACCTGGATTCTTTACCCTATGGTACATCCTCGCCATCTCGTCATTCTTTGAATTCATGGTCCCAGTCTTTGCCGTGGCCTATTTCAATGTGTACATTTACTGGAGCCTGTGGAAACGTAGCAATCTCAGTCGGTGGCAAAGCCAGCCCACACTCACTTCTCCTGTCTCTCCCAGTAACTGTGGGTCCTCACTCACAGGTAGACTGTTTCGAAGAACATCTCTTCCGGAACCGAAGGAAACGGCACCGTCTGCTCCTCTGAAAAGGCATGAAAGAAAGAGAAGCCTCTTGTATTCTTTAAGAGCCCAGATGAATAGCGGTATAATTGCTTCCAAAATGGCTTCCCTCACCCATTCTGATTCACTCTGTCTTCACCAAAGGGAACATATTGAACTGCTCAGAGCCAGGAAATTAGCCAAGTCACTGTCCATTCTCTTAGGTGTTTTTGCCTTTTGTTGGGCTCCCTACTCGCTGTTTACAATCATTCGTTCAGTTTACCCACTAGACCAGCATCCTCACATAGTTGGGTATGAAATCACATTTTGGCTTCAATGGCTCAATTCCTTTGTCAATCCTTTTCTGTATCCCTTGTGTCACAAGCATTTCCAGAAGGCTTTCTTGAAACTATTTCCTATGAAAAAGCAGTCCATACCATCACAGACTCGGTCAATGTCCTCTTAAAGGTAATTTTATCCTTTATAAAAATTTTAGTCTTAATCTCACCTCCATGAATTTGATGTGACTTTCATTTTGCCCTTTCCACTCTACCAGGAAAGTCCATAAAATTGTAACACTTGAAAACTTAAAAAAAAAAAAAAAAAGATTGGAGCCTGGAAGTCAAGGGAAGATGATCCTGGTGAATAATAATAGTACAGTTAGATTTAGATGACAATGTTTTTGTAAACTCATAGCCACAGATCACTGTACCTTTCTTTCTCATTGCCTCCTCTTTGTCTTTTAGATCTCGATATAGCACTGATGGTGAAAATTAAGAGTTCTTGTTTTCTTTCTACATTCAGGGTTTGCTAGAGCCCTATAGCCTAAGTGAATTTCCCTTTTTATTCTATAGTGATGAAAAATTCTCAAGTTTTGAAGATGTTTTACCTAAGATATGCAATAGAAAAAGGGGCTGTATTCCCTCTTTGCTGGAGGTGGGCAACTCTGTTATGATCAGTGGGCAGGTGTGTTGAGGCTTGAGTTGAGAGGCAGGGAGCGAGGGTGGGCCCAGATGGAAAAGTGGAAGGCATGTGTACCTCCAGACTCTATGTTCCTGATCCCAGAAAAGAAGGAAGTGTGGGGAGGGAAGAGTAGGTAGTTGTAGCTCTCAGATGTCCTTTGTGCCATTATCTGGGAGGCCCAGCAAACACAGGTTGAGAGAGTAAGTTACAGACAAGATCACCATCTGGTTGAAAGGATGGCTTTCCTTCTTTTCTTCCTACCCTCTTCTTCCAAATTCCATGTTGGCTTAAACCTCTGTGAGAAAATATGGAAGAAAGGGAAAGACTAAGAGATTAACAAAAGGACTGTGTGATTAAACCTGATGTACCTGGTATAACATTCACAGGACTAGTGGATGTCAATAATTATTAATAAAATATACTTCTGTTTTTATTTGATGTCTTTAACTTGTGTGCAGTGCTCAGAACGATTCCTTTATATGCAGTGAGTATAGGTTATACTTACTGATGAGTCGCATTTTCTTAGGCTGGTGACATTTTGTTCTTTTTGTCATTATTAATTTTTCTTCTTCCTCCTCCTCCTCTCCTTGTTCTCCCCTTTCTCCTCTTCCTTCTCCTCCTCCTCCTTCTTGTGTTCTTTGCCTGTCTTTGTCATAACATTTCATTTTGATTTTGGTTAATTTCATCTCTCCTCTAAGATTTTACTCCTATTTCTTTTGTAACTTCTCAGAGTTCCTATACAGTTTAGTCATTTTCATATTTCTTAGACCTTTGAAATCTTGGTTAAATTCAAACACTAAAATATGAAAATCCTTCAAGTACATCAATGATTAGATATGCCCCTAATTTTTATATATACTCATGCCTTGCATTAAGTCCAAAATAGGAGATACACGTTTAACATTCAATAGTAATCTCAAAAATTCAGGAAATAAATCCCCATAAATATGCAACTTTTTATAAAGTTACTTGTTAGCTATTGTTTTTGACATTCATAAATTAGTAGTTGTGTATTTCATATGATTACTGGAGGCTTGAAGGTCCATTGAATGGTGTGGCTCCATGGAAACTTTTTCTGATTGAACCCGAGCAGAAACATGCTTAAATATGCATATGTATTTTCTAAAATATAGAAAATATAATACAAAATTGTTTTTCATTCAAAGATGTCAACAGTCTACAACATACTGTTATTTTATTTATCACTATAAAAGAAAATGCTGCAAATTGTCTATGAAATAATACTTTCAAAAATCACATTGCTAGGAAGTCCCATTCTGATTTCAGAGTTGTTGAAAGGTGAGTGATATGTATCTTGGAAGTGAGAAAGTACGATACATTTATGATGAATGAATAGAACAAGCTAATCCTCTGTGAAATGAGAGTTGGAATAAATAAATACTTTTGATGGAACATTCATATATTCATTCAACAAATGTGTATTAGAGGTCTATCATGTGTTAGCTACTAGTATACTGTAAAGATGCCTAGAACCTTGCTGATTTAGTTTCCTTGGGGTAGGACTTTTACTCTGGGGTTCTCTTACCATGATGCTAGGCACCCCGTAGGTCTCAGTAGATATTAATGGAAAAGGCATGCATTAGGCATTTTCCTTAAAACCGGAATATAAATCCTCACTTTAAAATCCAAGTCTTTTAAATTTGCCCTGGAGGAATTTTAAAATATGTTTTTCATTATAAGAAAAGTAATATGTACTAATCATAAAAAGAAAAGACTGTAATAAAGTAATTTCTATACCCAAGAAACAGAATTATTATTTGGTGTAGATGTTTCTAGGGCGAAAAAGAATGTAATTCCATTTTTTAGAAACAAGTGTTTGTATATCTAAACTTCTCACAATCTCCTCAGGTGAATTTTGCCCTAAAATGAAAGCTCCTATTGTAGTATGATGAATTATTGTCTCCTTCTCACAAATGGAGTTAGCTTAGAAATACTTATTAAAATTTAAATAAAAAATAATTCATTTCCAATTGATTTAAAATACTTCAATACTTAATATTTAAGTATTTTTGTTTTTATTTTTTTATTTTAAGCATTTTTAAATGCATATTTAAAAATATTTAAAATACTTACTAGCTCATTTTAAATCCAAACCCAAAGCCGCTGGTATAATTGTCAGAACAATCCTTAAAATTTCAGTTCCTAAGTGTTGACTTCAGGTGGCCCATTTAGAAATAGGTTCAAGTAGAATGAGGACAGATTTAGGGATATAAATGCCACTTATGATAGTCTTTTAAAGATTTATATTATTTATTTGGCAGAGAGAGTGAGAGAGAGCAAGTGAGCACAAGCAGAGGGAGCAGCAGAGGGAAAGGGAGAAGCAGGCTTTCTGCTGAGCAAGGAGACTGATGCGGGGCTCCATCCCAGGACCCCGGGATCACGACCTGAGATGAAAGCAGACGCTTAATGAACTGAGCCACCCAGGATCCCCCAGGTCTAGTCTTTTTATGAATCATGAGGGCTTTGATCTAAGTAACAGAACAATCAAAACTATTTTACAGAAGAGCTTTCTGTGGCTGCTTGATAACTACTTTCTTGTAGCAAGGATCTTAGCATTTGAAGAAATTATTTTTCACATTATAATTTCAGAAAAAGAAACCTAGCATACAAAGTAATCTTTTGGTTCTAATGTTTGTTACCAGTCTGGGTTGAGTCAAGAAAACAGAAGCCATGTTAATTATTTCAGAGAGAAGGAATTTAATACACAGAAGTGGGTAAGTATTGGAAAGCCAAATGAGAAGGAAGCAGATGTTGACGGAGTCTGGGCCCAATAACTTAAATGAGCAACTACAGAAATGAGAGACAGACAGAAATGAGAGAGAATCAAAGAGAATCTGGGATCCCTGAGAACCAATGCTTGGAGCTCTGACTGGTGCCTCATGGCCAACAGTTAAGGCTTGGAGGGCCAAAGGGTAGGGCCAGCTGGTGCGGAGTTCATGGGGGTGGGGCAGGTTACTTACCTTCCTTCATCATCTCCATTTACCTGTGGTTCTCCCCAGGCATGGGAACTGCAACTCCTGTTCTACATGTAAAAAGGAAGAGTGATTCATGAAACTAGTTTAGTGAGTACCCCAGAAAGTATGAACATGGCCATTTCTGTTTGAAGTCTTATGTTCTAGAGGGCTCTTTCTGTAAGGATTACCTTAGGTTACAAGTGACAGAAACACAATTGAACCACCTGGACCTAAGTGAGCATCTTGGTTCCTGTTGCCAAAGAGCAGAAAGACAATGGTGGGAGACAGTCCAATGACTCTGTGTCAACTTCATTTTTATATCGTGGCTTCTCCACAAGCTGGGGTAATGAATGCTCGTGTTTTTGATCAGATAGGGAAAGGGCCTCTCCTAGCAACGATGAGAAAAAAAAAATCTGGGAAAATATTGAGTGCCCAGTGGTTATCTTGTGTTGATAACTTGGGACCAATCCCTGCAGTAGAGAGTAGATTCTAGTGCTGTCCTCTTGGGTCAGTTCTGCCTTCAGACTAATCACTATGGCAGGGAGGTAGGCTCAGCCCATTCAAACCATGATGTCTTGGGAGGGAGAAACAGTTTTCTTAAATGAAGAGAGGTATGGTCACCCAAAGAAGAGGGTAGTAATCATAAAAGTCTACCCCAAGGGCTATTCAAAAATTGGGGATGTGAAGATTGGATTGTCTTCCCTACACATTGTGCAAGCCTGCCCAAATGGACACAATTTTCTATCACTTCCTGGAGCCTCACCCTTTGCCACGTGATGTTGTAGCTCTTTGCATCCAGAGGGACTTGCAGTGGCCCATAACCTGCTGCTAATAGGCAGTGGAAGTGACGCCATGTCGGTGTCAAGCCTGGGTCTCAAGTGGCCCGTGCACATCTCTCCCAGCTCTTGGAACTTTGCTCAGCTGCCAGGTGCACACACCCAGGCTAGACTAATGAAGGCTGAGAGACCACGTGAAGAAGAATCAAGCCGTGCTCTAAGATGAGCTCAACTTAGAGCAGCTGCTCTTCCCCCAGCCCCGCAACGGCTGACTCAGCAGCCTATTGGAGATGCATGGGCAAATGCAGGCTAACCAAGGCTGGCTGAAAGAAGGCTCCCGTGGCCCAGACCAGAAGAACCACTCAGTTCATCTGGAGACTCCTGAGCCATGGCAAGACACTGCATTTGGGGAGTGGTTTGTATTCAGCAATAGTTAACGGACATGGCAAGTGCCTTCCCTCCTGTGTTGATTTCAAGAGAGATGTAGATATTTACATGCCTCATTCTTTTTGGGGAACTGAAACCAGAGACATAAAAATTATTATGTAACAGGACAGATTTTTTTTTTTTTAGGACAGACTTTTTTTTTTTTTTTAAGATTTCATTTATTTATTTGACAGAGATCACAAGTAGGCAGAGAGGCAGGCAGAGAGAGAGAGGAGGAAGCAGGCTCTCCGCGGAGCAGAGAGCCCGATGCGAAGCTCCATCCCAGGACCCTGGGATCATGACCTGAGCCGAAGGCAGCGGCTTTA